TGCAAGACTTTTAAATTAGGATTTTAATGGATTCTGTGGGATTTTGTGGAGTTTTGACATTTGATAAGATTTAAAAAAAATTATACATTCAAATTTAAAAAGAGTCAAAGATAAAAATAATAAATAAAAAAAATAATGTCTAGATAAATAATAATAATAATTCTCTATAATATTCTATCCTCTTTTTATAGCATCCACTATCAATTGTAACAATTCATCGGAATCATCCTTAATCCAAGCTTCATAGTTTTCTTTCTCTTTTCATTTTTCTTTATTATTTCCTTGTGAATCTCCCATTTGAATTACTAAAACAATATATGTTAAAAAATAGTTATATAAATAATTACGGATAATAGACAAAATCAATAAAATTATATTATTATTTTTAGAAGCACACCATCATACAAGATCGAATATATTTTTGCTATCCAAATGGATCAAATACCTCAGTTATTATAAAAAAAATGTAAAAACGAAAATATAGAAACATAAGATAATTTTTTATATAAAAAAATTAGTATATTCGATACTGAAAAAATATTTAGATATATAATTTTTTTTATATAAACAGAAGTATTTAGATATAGAGAATATATATATATATATATATATATATATATGATAATTTTTAACGATATTTATAAATATAAATTATTCTAACAAATATTTTAACAATATTTTCTTTTTTAAAAAATAAGTTAATGAAGGCATAAATCCTAAACCCTAAAAAATTAGATATTGCAATGTCTTATGTTAATTTTCTTTTTTTAAAATATAAAAAATCTTAATTTCATAATATAAAAATAAAAAAGAAAAATTCATAGTAAAAAAAATAAAATAATTGTTGAGTCATAAAAGGAGGAGGGATAAGAGTAACAAATTCAAGGGAAAGAGAGAATTCGCAATTTTTATGCTAAGAGGGTTCTTCCCCCTACTAAGATCCATTTTTATCTCATTCTACTCACAAAAACCCTAACAAATTCATCTTTTATATATATATATATATATATATATATTGTTGAGATTATGATATCAATTTCATCTTTCACCTTTTTCTTTTCTTAACGTGTGTCATAAAAAAAATTACCACTTAAAAGTTAAAATTTCAAGTATTTTTTTGTGTTATATAAAGGAACAAATTCAACTACATAGAATAAAATAAAGTAAGTCAATTAAAGAGAACGAACAGAAAAATAAAACAAGTCAATGACACTATCATTTACATATTAGAGTTTCACAAAATAGGAGAATGGTATGAGAATAGTATTATATATGAGCAATGAACAATAGTGTAGTATTATTAGTAGAGAAAAAATGGAGAAGACAGGAGCATAGAAAAAAAAGATGAAAAACTCACTTGAAAATTCTTAAAACACTTGAAAAATCATTTCAAACAATCCTTCAAAATCCGATGGGTTTGGATGGGATTGTTTTATGAATCTGGTATTTATAGATAACACTAGAAAGTCTTTCAAAATCCCTCTCACACAACAATCCTTTAAAATCCTTAAATTTTTGAATACCAATGGATTGTTTTTAAGTTGTAAAAAATCTCAAATGAATACCAGTGGATTTTAATGGACTCTTTAAAAAATCCTAAAAATCCAGATTGAATACCACTGGATTGTTTTTAAGTGACATAAAATCCTGATTGAATACCAATGGATTTTTTTACTCAAAAAAAGTCTTTTAAAATCCTACGAAATCCTAAACCAATACACCCCCCTAAATATTCAAAAACAACACTAAAAAAATACTTATGAAACTACTTAAATCATCTACATCTTACAATGCTTGTATGCTTGTTTGTTAAGAATAATTTTGCATTACAACATGCATCGAAAAAAACCATAATCAAGCATTGATTGCTTATTTAAGCATGATGTTGCTACTATTTTAAAAAAAAAAATTATTTGTCCAAAATTAAGAAGTATTAAGAAATGATATGGAACGGAAATTTGGAGTGCTTTAATCTTAATTACAATTGTACATGACACTAACTTATGTGTTTGACACATAAAAATATACAATTAGAAAAAAAACTATTATATACATGTATTATATCGCATAACATCATTGTAAAAGATGAACAATCAATACATATATAATAATTATTTTAATTATATTTATGATTATCTCAATAATAATATCTTAAAAATTGACATGCATAATGGTCAATCCTTATCCAAATCTCATGATACCCACAATGATGAACAAAAGACTCATATAAACATTAAGTGGAGACCTTGTGTATGAGAACATTTTTGGATGGAATAGTAATTAAAATCAATTTTTTTAAGTATGTAATTTTTAATAACGTAATATGAATTATTTTAATGGTAGCTTTTAATTTGTGATACGTTAAATTTTAATTTATAATGAGTGACATTAATTTACATGTTTTAATTATGTAATAATTTTAAATGAAATCTAATCCATGAAAGTTGACAACATTTTAAATGAAATTAATTTAGTAAAAAATATTTTACAAAAAATAGTGCAAATAAATATCTTATTTTTATAATTTAGTTATTTTATAATTAATATAATTACAACTTAATAAATAAATCATTAACAAAATGTAAAGATGTGAGATTATTGGTTAGACTCCTTTAGTAACTTTTATAGATGTCTATTATATTTTATTAGTATCTTTAAATTATTTTTAAATTACAAGTAATTAAAAATAATTTATATCATAATTTAATAATTTTATTATAAATGAAAATGTAATTCATATATTGAAAGATATTTATTTATTATAAATTACAATTATATAAAAATAAGTACTTATTCTGTGGGATTTACATACTACTTTATAGGTAATTTTAGTCGTTAAAGGTGTTAATATTAACAAATCTCTTGTTCCTAAATAACTTGGGCATAATTTTAGTATTAAAAGAATGTTATCTATACACAATTTTCTTACCAACCGTTATTTTCTTGTATACATGTCTGGTTTGTACTGTGCTTAATGGCGATGATAACTGTTCTTGCCGGACCCACGTCGAGTAAGACTCCATTCACATGCACACTAGCCTACCAATGCTTCAAAAGGAGGGCACCATATAACACATACAAGTTGACACAACACACATTTTTGTTTCATTTTTTACACAGTTAGTGGGGTCATTTATCCACTTATTATATGAAAATAAATACATTACATTATAGTGATCGAATGGGGTTCCATGCAGCTATGCTAGTGCCTGCACATACTGAAAGCACAAAAACAAACAACTTTAACCACCAACTACATATATGCTATATATAGTGGACTTCAGTGCTTTTGAGACCAAATCTTCAATATACATAATGTATTAAAGCAAAACTAACAACATGATATATATGATGATCGTCATCCCTCATATGTCCACTTCAACTGTGGAATTGGATTGGTCTTCTATATTCTTTCTTGGAAATTTAAACACTGAACCTGCAGATCTTCATCTCGATCAAAACATCATTAGCATATATAACTAGCAATTTTTCCTCATCTCATGGGAGGGCAGAAAATTTGGAAATAAATACCTTCTTGTTCATATAACAAATCTATAAAACATTTTTAAAGAGGATTATCATAAACATATACTCTTTTTTTTCTTCTTCTCAGTTTTACTCTGCTTTCTTCTTAATTTCTATTGCATCACTTATCAACACTATTTTGGGGGTGAATGTTTATTTTTAATCTCGGTTTTATCCCTCTTATCTTCAACCCATTTCTGAGTGAATGCTTTTTATCTTCTTCTTTCTTTTAACAATACTATTTTTCTTTTTCTGTATGGAATACTCCAATCATTCTTCTCTTCCCATTTCTCTCTTTCTTGTATAACTTTATGACTTTTTGTACAACAATAATTTATGTACAAATACAATTTCTAAGTAAGAAATAATCTATTCCCACCTTTTAATTTGTCCTTCAATAAAAAATAACACATGATTGAAAATGATATTTTTTTATTATGTATTATATATTAAAGATATATGTTGGAGGATGACACCAACTTAAAGACTAAAATGGATGAGACATAATTTTTTTTTTCATTAACCATAATATTTATCATTATGTTTGATTATATAATAAGAAATGTTAGTAACTTTGCCATTAAGAATATGATTGATTCCACTTCTTATATGTTTGGAATCAATTTTGTTGTGTCCAAGATAATCAGAATCGCGTTTCCTGTATATTTGACTATTAATAAAATTGATTTCAATATACCTAAATTTATTTTTATTTAGAAACAGCTATTAATAGTACATTCTTTATTAAATAAAATTGATTTTGAAGTTTTATCTGTTCAAATTAATAATGATACACTAATCAAATTTATATCTTTCATTATTCAAATGAAAATCACATTATTTTTAACTCACACTACTAAAAAATAATTCTACGAATTCATATTGATTTTAAATCAATTGGATCAACACATATCCAAACACATACTAAGACACACATAAAATGAATTATGTAAATTATACTGATTTAAAATTAATTTTACAAACACATTTAAATACGCATTATTTTTTTAGCTATTTTTTTTTCTATTGGAGGAACAATAAATATGACATAAAAATGTTCATTTTACACGCGTGCACAATGCAAAAGCCAATGACATAAATCACACACTCACTGAAACAGAATCAATTATGATAAAAGCTACTACTTTAATTACAATGACTAAACATTTAATTAATTATTTAAAAGGTAATAATAATTGAAAGTAGACACATGTTTTGACGAATCCTCGGGACGGACGTGGATTACTCAGTTGATTTTACGTTTTAATCCCATTTATATGTGTCTGATGACGAAATTGATCTTATGCGTGCCTAATGGACGCAACTGATTGTGATTATTAATCTAAAACGCACCAACAAATTCTCACACACTCGTACACTACTCTCTTATGTTATTTTTTAACGACGTGTCATTTTTCAATTGGTGGGACAAGAAGGAACAGGTGATTCTGAATCCATATAAATACGAGCCTCCTACGTTGTATTATTTCATATTCTCGTGGCTCAAAAGATTGGTTAAGGTTGTTGGAGCTAGCCCTAACAAGACATGGAGAACCCCCAGACACAAAACTGGTTCCAAAGAGTGAAACCGTTCGCAGCTGTGGTATCAATCCAGCTTGGATATGCTATTATGGATGTTCTATCCAAGACTGCAATGAACAAAGGAATGAGCAATTACGTGTTTGTCGTTTATCGCCATGCTGTTGCATTCATTGTCATAGCTCCTTTGGCATGGTTTTTTGACAAGTATGTTCCTCTCTTCTCTGTCTTTTTTGTGTCAGTGAATATAAGACTACGGAAGTAATAACATGCATTCTTTTTAACAGGAAAGTGAGGCCAAAGATGACATTGTCAATTTTCATAAAGATTGTGGTGCTCAGCTTGCTAGAGTAATTAAATTTCCTGCTTTGCTAATGCTTAACACATTAACTCTTCTTTCAGTGGAAAAAAATAATTACTAAACTTTGATGTTAATTTTCTTTGTGACAGGCCAGTTATTGATCAGAATTTGTATTTTTTGGGGATGAAGTACACAACAGCAACCTTTGCTGTTACCATGATCAATATCCTTCCAGCCATCACCTTTATCTTCGCATGCATTTTTAGGTAACTAGCAACAACTGTTTTCCCTCTACTAATATTTATACACATAAAAACAAGAATATGGTCGAAATTAAACTAGTCAGATTAAGGTGTTGCCGTGTTGGTCTTGCTTTCTTGCCAACCTGCTGAAAGATGGAGATTCTTACATAGATGGCTAAGCTAATAAAAAATTACCATATTTGTTTATGATTTTAATAGACATATCAGTGTACATATTACCTTACATAGCAATTCATTTGTGTTAGATATTGATGGGTATACGTACATGTACGACTTATTCATTGTTTTTTAGTTTAATAACACATAATATCTGTCTATTAGATGTTACTGCGCATATAAATGGTAAGGTTAGGCATTAATTTCTGTGGTTCTGATTAGGCTTGAAAAGATAAAAATAAGAAGTATACACAGCCAAGCAAAGGTGGTAGGAACTCTAACAACTGTTTCGGGTGCTATGGTGATGACACTGTTGAAAGGTCCAGTGCTTTTCGGGTCACACAGAAGCAATGATGACAGCCAGAATGGGACAAGTACTCAACATACAATAACGGGATTCATAATGATCACAATTGGATGCTTTTCTTGGGCGTCTTTTATGATCCTACAGGTTAGTTATATATTCTGATTGATTCATGATGCCATAATAATATATACAAGAATTAATGACCAAAATAATAATAACAAGGACACTCCTTTTGGTTTGTTTGTTGTCCGAGGTTGTGGCACAAGAATAAAAACATATAGTTACATGAAAATTATTGTTATATCTTGTATATAGATATTAAAATTTGAATTGATGGGGGTGGTATAGCTAACACAGGTTCACCATGGTTTTCTTTGTGTAGGCTATTACGCTTAAAAGCTACCCTGCAGAACTCTCTCTTTCTGCGTGGATATGCCTAATGGGCACAATTGAAGGTGCTGTAGTGGCTATGATTATGGAAAGGGGCAACCCTTCAGTTTGGTCTATAAAATTCGATGTCAGACTGCTCTGTGCTATCTACACCGTAAGCCCTTCCAACCTAATTAAACTAACTACTCAAAATATAAGAAAAACACTTGATATACACAAAATAGTAATATTATGCACGGAATGTTATGTTTAAGCCCCTGTTGCCTGTTGGGTTGGCTAAATCCACAAGTTTTTTTTTTTTTTAATTAATGTTTTTCTAACACACCCTTTTGGGATGCAATAACGATAAAAAAAAAGTTAATCATTCATACATTGTTAGTGTAAAGTTTTTTACACTGGCGACCAATTAAATCTTTTAAATTATTTTATTTTATTTTTATTTCATTAATATTAAAATATATGATTAGTTATCAGTGTAAAAAAACTTTACACTAGCAGCGTATAGGTGATTAATTCTAAAAAAAAGTGTAAAAATAAAGAGGAGGGTGGCGGGGGAGATTAAATTAAAAAAAAAGAAGTAAAAATGTGATAATAAAAAAATGAAAGAAGGAATGTAAAACACTACTAGAATTTCTCTTATTACATACATGCGACTTTTCATACGAATTTTGTATAAAAATTCATAGCAAATATTATTCCTACGAATTTTTCTGTGAAATTTTATCTTCATGTAATACTTTCGTGGATAATATGTTTTTGTGAATTTTAAAATTCGCAAGAAATTTTTCTATGAAATTTCTTGTGAAAAAAATTCGCACGAAAGTTTCCTACGAATTTTTCGCAAGAAATTCTGCAAAAAAATTTCTTATTAAAAAAATTAAAGAAATTACTACAAATTTTATTAATGATTCTTCAACTTTCAAATGCTTACAATGAATTCATACAAAACATTAAGAAATTTGCTTTCATGCCTCCACCATGTGCTACATAACATTTTAAACTCTTAGATGGTAGATTATAAGTCTAACACTCAATCATACAAATCAACTTGTAAGGTAACTATTGTCTCAACTTATATACTCTTCAATTATTTTATTTCTAATCGATGTGAGACTTGAAGTTTTCTTTAAATATTAATTAGATCATGTCTTTAGAAAAATGATTAACTCATTATATTGAACAACAAAATTATATTATTATAAATTACTTTATCTCTTAAAATATTCAATATTCTAAAAAAATTAATTTTTTTATTAAATAATTTTATCTTAAAAACTATCATTAAATTAAAACTCATCATCATTAATTTATACTTTTAATTAAAATAAATATTTAATTTATTAATATTTTAAATTAAAATTAATTTTTATGAAATATTTATAAATAATTTAGTAAAATAATATTTTATTAAGTAAATACTTTTAATTTTAAAATTTTATAAATTATCATTAAATTAAAACTCATTATCATTAATTTATCATATTTATAAAATTTTATATATTTAATTAAATTAAAATTAAAATTAAGTATAATGATATATTTATAAATAATTTAGTAAAGTGAAATTTTTTAATTAAAAATATTTTAATTATTAAACTTATAAATTTAAACATTTTATTTTTATTTTTTCTACGAATTAAAATTGGTAGGAAAATCTGCCGGAAAAGTTACCTGCAAAAATTTTCTACTATTTAGTATGTCATAAATATTACTTGCGAATTTATTTTTACAAGAAAATTTGCAAGAAACAAAAGAAAATTCTTACAACATTTTTTTACAAATTTTTACCATTAAATTTATATGATCATTAAAATTGTAGCAAAATTTTCAAAAATTTCTTGTAGATTATTTTTCATAAAAAAATTTTGTAAGAAATATTTGTAAATTATTTTTCACAAATAAATTTATAAAAAAATTGTGAAATTATTATTGCAAGAAAATTTGTAAAAAATTTCTACAAATATTTTTTTTTAGGAAAATTCGCAAAAAAAAAATATTTTTGTAATAATGAAAATAAAGTGAAAGAAAATAACAAGAAGAGTAATGGTGAGTAAACACCTCTTCACTCTAAATATTACATTAATACTTTTTTATCTTATTATATTATATCACCTATAATATTTATTAAAAAAAATCTTCTCTTGGTGGGTGTCAAAATAGTTTTTTTTTTTGTCTCCTAATCAGTTTTGAAAAATGAAAATTCTTCTACCTTAGGTGATAAAATCCACCTGAAATTACAACTTTTTTGCATTTTTTTCTCCCTACGTACTTACCCTAATGTTGGTTTAGGAAAGAAAGAATGAAAAAAGAAAGAAAATGAATAAAAACTGAGATGATTATTTGAGTTGTTTGGTAGAACTTTGAAGAGAGAGTGAAAGGAAATATGTTATAACTTTTTCTTTCTCTTGTCTTGCTGTATAGAAAGTGAAAAGAAAAAAAGGACTATCTCTAATTAAAAACAAAGAAATATATATATAAAAATAAGGATAATTTGACTTTTAAATATAACAAGAAACTTTCTCTCTTATTTTCTTTTCAATTTAATTAGAGGAGAAAAAAAGTATAAGCTCCACGAATTTTTTTCTTTCCTTCCAGGTTTAGTATATACCAAACAAGGATTAAGAAAGCATATTTTAAGTCACTTCCATTCCTTTCATTTTCTTCATCTCCTTTTCCTCTCTTCCAAACATGGTGATGGTGTTCATCTCTTTCTATCTCTCTCTTTTCTTCTTTCTTTAAAAACCGACATGTTCTCTCTCTTTTTTCTTAAAAAAATCACAAAAATAAATTTAACTAAACTAGTGCGTGAGAAATTAAACAATTAAATCATCTTGCTAATATAAACATATAATCCCAACTTTATAATTTAACTATTATTAGGTCTGGTCAGGTATACTACATCATTGTCATCTACGTAGTGTGTATTTAAATAAAAGTTGAGTTTAACTCAATCCACTTTTACTTCAAAATAATAACCTTGTTGCTTTTGGATTTCATGCAGTAGAAAGTGAAAATACACATTTCCATACTTTGAAACGGAAATCCAAACACATCTATACAAATTTAAAAAAATTGAACTCAAACAAATCTGAAATGAAGTTTTTATGTCAAAGTTACCTATTACCTATTAGAATTTTTTTCCTACTTGTCCTCTCATACCTCCCCAATCAAATATTCACACATTAGTGATTAAATTCACAAGAGAAAGTTGTAACTTTGATTTGTTAAGATGTCACGTTTCGATTAAAGAGAAGACATGCAAATACAATAGGTTATTTGAATCTTGTACGTATAATCTGTATCAATATTTTGTGGTTCATTTCGTTTATATTGAACCCTCGAGTTAGAGTCATGACATCCAAAGCCTATATTCTCAAGCTTCTACCCATATTTAGAAATACTACCTGTTTCTATTTATAAAACCCATCTTTAACAATTCTTTCCAACTCATAGTGTTTGATATATTATTTATTTTTAGGTTAAAATATCCTTAATTAAAACATGTTTTCTTAATTTATTAGAATACATTAATTATAGACTCTTTGAAAGACATATATTCTAATTGACTAAGAGAATAAACAATATTAATTATGAGAGAGAAACAAAATATGACATCCAATTTAATTGGTTATAAGAGATGTGAGTATTAATTAAGGGAGAAATGTAGTATAAGAATAGTTTTGAAAAAAATATATAAATAAGACAAATTTATTATTATCAATTAGATTAATTGTTTTTCTTAATCTTGATGAATTAAGTATTTAAGCCATACTAGTACAAAATATAAATAATATTTTGGAACTCTAAGTATATATCATTATCTTGTAATTGCTAATTATCCACAATAATACCAGTTGATTGTTTTAAAGAAAAGTTCTTTTAAACATGTTAGGTGTTATTTTCTAATTGAAATTTTCAACGTGAAAGTTCATCTGTAAGACTGTGATATGATACTCATTCTAATTAATTTTGGGGTTCAATGTGTATCACACATCGTCAATGCAAAAAGAAAAATAATAAATAAATTTACACTGACGATCAATAAAAAGTTATTGTTATTATAAAAATCAATAAATTTGTCATAAAAATCATAAAAATCCTCATATATAATTAATTATTATGTGAGAGCAATCTTTTTTCTCTTAATTTGAATGCCCATTCTTATAAACTAATTAAATTAAGACAATATTCACATACAGGGCATAGTGTGCTCGGGAGTGGCTTATTACTTGCAAGGAGTAGTAATGCAAACTAGAGGCCCAGTCTTTGTAACAGCATTTAGTCCCCTCGGCATGGTAATCGTGGCCATCATGGGCTTCTACTTTCTTTCCGAGCAAGTCTTCCTCGGAAGGTAATCATGATAATCAAGTACCTATGATTGTGTTCATCTTGGTTCCATAAATATGAAACAAACCAAAACTTATAAAATGGAATTTGATAAATGTTGCAGATTGATCGGTGCTATAATCATTTGTTTGGGCCTGTACGTTGTGGTGTGGGGTAAAAGCAAAGATTACAGCCCACCAAGCCCAAATACTCAAGAGCCCATATTACCAGCTAAGCAAATAATGGACAAGGACAATGACTATGCTAACGAAAATTGCACCGTCAACAATTTTGGAAATGGAATGGCTACTCAAAATGAAGAAGTGTGAGGATACTCCAGCTATGACAGTTCCTAGTTGTTTAATCTTTCAATTACGATTTCTGAGAGCAAAGATTTTTACCTTTGTTAAGTCATCTCAACAAGGTAAGGTATATAACTAACTAGTAGTAGTCAAGCTGTGGAAATAGATAATGTTGCATTGCTAGTAGATATCACGGTGCAATAGCAGCAATAAGTTACAAAATCCTTTATCTGTCAAAGGACGATTAAACCCACTAGATACATGAAAGAGAATATCACAGAATATTTTCTTGTATTAATAAGACCTTCACAACAAAATCAATTTACCTTCATGAAATTAATTCACTTACTATATGCTACTACCATGATACATCCAATTTGCAATACATATTCTATTTTGTTTGGAGAGTTCCCCACTATTTTCGTGTTTATCCTCAAATGGTTAAAGGATACAAAACTTGCGAAATTGGTCGGCAAAAGGTGTATCAAAACAAAACATTACTCCTATGAAACCAACAAAGGTTGTCCTATCTTGTAACTCAATTCCACCATTGTATCAATTGCTTTACTTCTTGTTTTCCACGTGTGCGCTTGAGTTCCCTGCTGCAGCCAAAAAGGATTCTGTAAAAGGAAGAAAGACCAAATGTGAGAAGTACCATCTTTTGGATCAACATAAAGATATCAGACAAATCCAAAAAAAACAGCATTAACTGAACAAGATAAACCACCTTTCCAAATGCAGAAGGATTTCTGATTGATAGGTGAACCAGTTATAGTCTGAATAACTTCAAACAACATGCTCTGTGGAGTGCTCCTGAGCTCTTGTACAACCCCATATATAGTTTTCCCATTATCAAAGTAAATATGATTATTGGGGTGTTTTGTCTTGCATCCAGCATGTCGCTCAAATTCATATGCATTAATAACCTGAAGAAATGAAATATCAGTCAGAGATAGCAATTTGGCTCAGGAAGGATTATCCTCTATGATGAGGATTTTAAACAAACTTTACCTTGGAAAAATTACACGAATGGCAACTGCACAAATACCCAGCACCTTTTATAACACCTCGAAGTTCCTTCTAACAAGCATAGGAAGAACCATACATGTGATGAAAGATAAGCTACTGTGAAAGATGAACTCATTAATACTAAATTTTTACCTCCCGTGACCATGCCTTATACTTCACTGAGAGACCATCCAGCATACCAGTGGATAGCAAACTTCTGACGTTTGAAGGGAAGTTGTTTGAAGTGGCTTTTTTAGACATTTTCATCTCCTCTTTTGTCTTGGTAACGTTTTCAGTTTCAGGTGCAGATGTATGAGCTGTACTTGGAAGTAAACTAGAACTAGATCTAAGCAAATCTTTCTCATTCACGGCTTCTGACTTGTTTGAAAGTGCTTGACACATCAGGAGTTCATAGTTGGAAATGAACAAGTCAGAGGGAGTTGTGTCATCATCATCACAGCCACCAAAGGATATGATAGTGCTCTCTCCTCTATTATAGGAATGAGAAGCAAATGGCACGTCATTTCCCTCTTTGTGGTAGGTGTGATGCACTGATATAGTGCCATTATCAGCCTCATTGTATAAATGGTTAGTTAACACAGAATTGTCCGGGACTTTGTTGTAAGCTTGAGCAATAGATATCACATTACTGTCCACCTCACTGAAGCCCTGATCCATTGATGATATCCTATTACATATCTCATTGAATGTTGGATGTAAAGATAAGCTGTCATTTCCCTTGCTATAGGATTGACTCATCGACATGAAATTGTTGTCTGTCCTGCCATATGCATCATCCATTGATATTATATTGGCAACCCCTTTGTTGTAGGTGAGATTCGTTGATATGGACTTATCGATCTCCTTGTATAGACAAGAATTTGACACAGTCTCACTAACTATGCTATCATAGGGATTATTTGCAGTAACAGACATGACATTCTCAGATTCCTTCACCTCGTTATCTTTGACTTTTCTAAATCCATCATAATTAAAAACTAAACGAGGATCTTCTAATGCAGTTGAGATGGATAAACCAAATGAGGACTCGCCTCCAAAGGGATCCATGCTATCCTTTCTTTCCACACTCAGTGTATTATCTATGCTACCCGAGGGAGTGTTTGCATCTTCAAAATTCATGGTTACTGGATCTGGGACATATAATTGTTCAGTAAAATGACCATTTAAAGAGTGAAATCCTGAGGAATTTTCCCAAGAGGAAATATTGGAGTTGAGCATTCCAGATAATAAATTATTTGGAGCTTCTACTGCTTGCTTCTTATTGGGATACAGATCCACTTCAGGGCCATCCATGAACCACTGATGAGTGCGCTTGGACTCAATTCCAGAAAAACTGTCATTTGTCATGTCATCGTCATTCAAACACCCAGGACTCTTCCCCATCCAAAGTGCTTGATTATGGAAAGACTGTCAACAAAAAATTCCTTAGAAGAAGCCCCTAACAAAGAAGTTCAATGAAATCTTGACACTAAATCTGAACCATTGACGGAACAAACTTTAGCATGCATCTTATCACCAACCGGGAAAAAGATTCATAAATGGCCAGTGGCATTAAGAGTTAAGAACTAAGAAGCATGAAAAAACAAAATACTGCCTCCTCTTAAGCCTCCGCATGACATTTGCTAAGGACCCCTTAAATTATGACCACAGACAATAGAACTGAACCCAAAACGTCATTGCATGATAAAACACTCATCACATGAAAACACTCCCTCATCTAGCTTAAGATTAAAACACAATGAATATGCAAGTAGAATGCAATTATTTCAACCAAATTTCATAGTCAAGTAGTCATAAATTTACACACAAATTCCACACATAGCTAATTGTCACTAAAAATGTAAAATAAAAAAATAAATAAAATAAATAAAAATAAAGTTAATTTGTACGAAGTCTTAGGTTAGCCGAAACCCGCTTCGTACCAATCATTCATCCAGGCATTGGACCAGCTATGAAAAGATTTGCAACAAAGCACCACATAGACTAAAGATAAAAAAATGCATGTAATAAAAAAAAAGGCAGCATCATCAAACTCAAAGTTTTTGGCTAAAAGAAATAAAAACAGACTCCGTAAGAGTAGTATGAAACTAGAACATAATGGTAAGCATCCTAACCAATAAACACATTTTCAGTATAGACCTTGGACACTCCTTATTCAGTTTAATAATGGAAATAGAAACAAAAACCCAAAGGTAAATCTTTACATCAACTAGTAACACACAAAGCTTCACTTGTCATTAAAAATGGACCAAAACAACATATGCAGAAGCCAACACAAATTCCATGCAACGAAGTGGGAATGAAACATACCATTTCCCTCTTCACAAAAAAATTCCACAATCAAAGCTATGTTGGTCTTTGCGATGAAACTTCCCAATCAGTGGTTACTGGAGAAATTTGCCTGCCAATGAGCACCCCGAAACCAACTTCAAGTAAAAATGGTTGCTTTATGCGAAAACGGAACATGCAATGGTAAAAATCACACCTTTAGTGGCTGAAATTCGGGTCAACAAAAAATAAGAGAACTTACATGTTACTTTAATGAGGAAGATGAAAAAAGGAACAACAACATTAGCATCGGTTTCGAGTTTTGATTCAGTGGAAATGCGTTACCCTGAACCTGAGTTTGATGGAGCAGTTTTGTGAATGATGCGAAGTAGAGGAACACGGTAAGATCGCTACAGGTAGGGGAAGTAGAAATATTTTGAGGATTTTGTGCTTGTCGGAAAAGTTAAACCGTGGTGCTCCGCACGATCGCATCGTCGCATCACATCATTGCCGGACACGTGGCGGCATCGAGTTCTGTGCGTCAGAGGTTCATCATACGCCGGCTGCATCACCTCACCTCAGTCACTCTCTCTCTCTCTGTATAAGCTTTTGTTTCTGTTTTATTTCCAAACAAGTATTTTGTTAATAAGAAAATATATTATTTTTAATCAATAATTTATTATAAAATCAACAATTAATATATTTAAAAATGACATTTTCGTAAACTTGTAACAAATGTATTTAATATTAAAAATAGAGTGAAAAATTAAGGTTTAAAATTATTAAAATTAAGAGTGAAAAATAATGTTTGAAAAATAATAAAGATGAATGAGTTGATTAGAAAAAGATAAAATAGTCAAAAATAATAATAAAAGATGAGAAGGTGTATGAAGAATATAGTTTTTGAAAATAATATTTATTTTAAATAAATAAATAAATAAGGATACTTAAGAAAATTTTTGAAAAAAAAAAAAACACTGAGAAGAGAGCATATTTATTATAAAGGACAGGTGAATATAACATTTAGCTGTATTTTAACGCGAGGTTTGCATATGGCAAAGGCTAAGTTTGGGTAGTGTTATTTTACTTGTTCTCATTAGGGGTGAGGAAAATCAAACTCACCTTAGTGACATGTTTTGATCCAAAGAAAATTGAACAAGATTGGGTTTTAAAATTAAGCTTGGGGATTTTTTATTTTTTATTTTATTTTTTATGGTTTCAGGTTATCTTTTAGGTTGTCTGAGCCCGATTTAATCTTCGACATTATTTTTTTTCTTCTTCTAACAATTGTGTATTAATAATAAATCTATTTTATTTATTTTGAGGGAAATAAGATTATGTCATTTCATTCAAAATAATTGGAACAATACATGAGGGAATAAATTCAAAAGTGTGAGAGCTAGCATAACATCGTGACGCCCTAGCTAAACAGTGAGCAACCCGATTGGCTTGCCTCGGAATGAACTTTAGTGATAAGTTCGGATGATTGTGTAATAATCCTCTACACTTATTAAGAAGAGACCCATATTCTGAGTGCTGTGATTGAGTTCTAGATAGAGCATCAAGGACAGATTTACAATCCGACTCAATGGTAACGTGGGTGAGGCTCAAATTTTCTATCCATTGGATGGCTGTAAGTAGAGCTGTAGCTTCAGCCTCATGAACAGGTGGAAGGCTATGAGCCCAACCAGTTTTGGCTGTGAGAAACTGTCCATGATCATTTCGAATGCACATGCTATACCCAAAGTAGGATGAGTCCTGGAAGAGAGCAGCGTCAATATTGCACGTAAACGTCCCTACATGGGGCTTTTTCCACTGTAGATCGTGTACAGGAGGGATCCTTTGTGTCGACGATCTTGCTTGTGCCGCTTGCCAATCCCGAAAATGTTGCTTTGCTTGTGAGATGGCTACTCCTGAAGGTGGGGCGCCCTGATCCCAAACCTTAGCATTCCGACGCCTCCAGATACAGCCAAGCGTGACCACGACTTCAACAATATGGCTTTGAGATATGCTGCCAAGTAAGGAAAAGATGACCTCGACAATTCCTTCACCTACATCTACAAAGGATTTAATATGTTGCCATATGCCAGTTGCTTGCCATACGGTCTGTGCTTCTTGACAACCTAAGAAAATGTGCCAATTATTTTCTTGTGCAGCTTCACATGCAGTGGGGACAAAGGGAGGTACAAGGGACTCCCTTTTGCTGAAGGCGTTGGCGTGAAGGAAGACAGTCTCTAAGAAGTCTCCAAAGAAAGATTTTCATGTTATGCGAAATAGGTAAAGCCCATAACTTTTTCCAATCACCAGGGAGCCTTGAGATAGAGTTGCATAACAGGTACTCCATAATAAGAAGTCTCTATTTTATTTAATCGATAGTTTTTCATAAAACTTGATATTATATTAATACCAATATTATCTATGACAATATTTAAAGAGATACTTTTTTTTCATTATACCTTTATCTTATATTTTATTTTTTTATTAATTTATATTTAAGGATTAAATTAATATATATATATATATAAAATAATTATCCACTTTTTGTGAGAACACTAATTTATTATTTTTTTTAATGAAAGTACGAAATGTCTTCTTCTTTGCTATTTTATTATAAAATGTATATCATAAAATATATCCTAATTGAATTTTTATACTGTTACTTGATTTAAATATAGATAATGTTAATATTGATATATTATGATAAAAAGTTGTGTTGACCCAATTTCACCCATATGACTTTTGCTATTTTCCCTGTTTACTAAGTACATATTGTTTCCCTTTGTTTTAAAAGAGATTTCCTAAAACATTTTTTCCCTTTTATTCAAATATTCTCCTTATTGTGGATGTAATAGTTGTTTCATCTCTTCTAAAAATATTCTTCTCTGATGACCCATTTTTTCTCCCCTTCATCCTAACCAGGCAAAAACTTTACAACATCAACTCTCACTTTTATTTCTCTTAAACTAAACAAGTCAAAACTCTACTTGATTTCTTGTATATTTCTTTCTCACTTATTTTTTTCCCATTCTATTTCTTATATCCCTATCAAACAAAGTGTTAAAAAGGAAATAATAGTTATTTTTTGTAAACTTCATGTTAAAATGTATTTTTTGGGATGAAAGAAAAATGTTAATACCTTGTTTGGTAAAGTGGAAATATTTGAGAAATAGCTAGCTAGTAGAGAGTGAAAATAAAGATAAGAAAAATAAGTTAGGTTGGTGAGAGATATAATTTTATTTTCACTTGGGAGAGAATAAAATTGTGATAAAATACATATTACATATCACGTATCATTTCTTTCCAAAGTCATTGTCGGTGATTAGAAGCCTCCGTACATGTTGTTAATGTTGATGAATGAATTGAACCCGTCTCAAATATTCGTATAGATGACGATGTGCAAAGCGTAAGAAAACGAAAAAATGCATGTATAGCAAATGAAATGAATGACCAACATAGGTCACATCTATTAACAGTGATAGTTATATAGTACATTGATAAAGCTGCAAAAGGAAGAGAGAGAAAATAATAAAAGTTTGTTACAAAAAGTGAATGGAGAATAAGGGTAAGGAGAATATGTAATAGAATAACAATAAAAATGATACAGCTAAGAGCCCCCTGCAAGTTGGGAATGGATATTGTACATTCCCAGCTTGGAACAAATATTCTCAAAAGGTGCAGGAGAAAGAGGCTTCGTGAGGATGTTTGCAAGCAGAGAAGAACAAGAAACAGGCAGTAACTTGATTGAACTAGAGGATACTTTCTCGCGAACAATGTGACAATCGATATCTATATGTTTCGTGCGCTCATGGAAAACTTGGTTAGATGCAATCTGGATGGATGACTGACTGGTTGTCACAGTAGCCTTAAGCCAACAATCATGTTTAGAAGCTTCAACATATGTGCGAGGTTCGGTGAGAAAAGAAATGGATAAAATAAAATGACGAAAAAAGGGAAAGAGAACAAATTAGATACAATAAAAAAAGAAGAATACCTGGGGAGGAAGATGGTCCAGTTGATGTAAAATTGATGTGAAAGTCATGTAGGTACGTTGGAGGATGACGGGGACGTGTGGAACGCCGAAGAGGTAGGGGGTTTCAAAAGAGGGAGGTGTATCCATAGGAGAAAGAGTAAGTTGTGATGAGGGAATGGAAGAATTATGATGAGGTTCATCAGGAGGGTGGGTAGGCAGTGAAGTGGGTAAACAAACAGAAGAAGCATCAGGGTAATTACGAAGAGATGGAAAATACTCCTCATGAAAAATGACATGGCGTGAAGTAATTATATTATGACTATGAAGGTCATAGAGGAGATAACCTTTAGTGTGAGGTTTGAAACCAATGAAAATGGAAGGATGGGCTCGCGGATCAAGTTATGTACGTTGAGCAGTGAGAGTATTGTTGTAACACAAACACCCGAAAACACGAAGATTGCTAATGTCGCTAGGTCGATTGTAAAGCTTTTCATAAGGGGATATGTTGTGCAGGTAAGGAGTGGGAATGCAATTGATTATGTATGCAGCATGCAGAAGTGTAAAGCACCAAAAACTGGGTGGTAATTGGATTGAAAAAGAAGGGCCCGAGTCACATTAAGTAAATGTTGGTGTTTCGTTCTGCAATCTCATTTTGTTGGGTGTTTCAACACATGTTGTTTGATGAATGATACCTTTGGATAAAAAATATTGATGATGATGCATAAGAAATTCGGATTCGTTATCAGTTCGAATAATCTTTACATTTGTGTCAAATTGATGTTCAACGTGAGTAATAAAATTAGTAATATGAGTATGCATTTCACTTTTGGAAAGCATAAGGTATATCCATGTAAATCGTGTGTGGTCATCCACAATGCTTAAAAAATATTTGTGGCCATGCATGGATGTTTTTGAACACAGTCCCCAAATGTCCATGTGTAATAATTCAAAAGGTTTGGATGCATATGAGTTGCTTAAAGAGAACGGGAGTTTCTTTTGTTTAGCTTAGTGACATGTGTTACAAACAAAACTCGAGTCACTGGACAAACAAGGATAATATTGTTCCATTGATTGTAAACGAGTGTGGGAAAGGTGACCAAGGCGAAAATGCCATAGATCAATAGGTAAGTGTTTATAGTTAGGATGAACAATGCTAGAAAGGGTAGAACGCGAAATAGAAGAAGGAATGACCAACTGATAGAGACCTCCAATTACATCAACTGTACCAATCTTCTTCTTGGTGCTAGCGTCCTGTAAAATGCAAGAATAAGAAGAAAATGTTAAATGACAGTTGACCGTATTGACAAGTTTAGAAATGGAGATAAGGTTGAAGGTGAAATTGGGAATGTAAAGAACATCGACTAAATAAAAAGAATTAGAAAATTTTACAGTTCCGGAATGGGTGGCAGTAACATGTTGACCAGTGGGTAGCTTAACAATGACAGGATCAATGGATATGTAGGAATGAAAATAACTAAGAGAAGATGAAACGTGGTCAGTAGCACCAGAATCTAATATCCAAAGGTGCATGAGAATTAGATTTACCTGAAGGAGAGGAGGAAGTAATAGTACCAATTTGGTTGATGTGGGAAGCAGGGGAAGCTGAAGATCCTGATTGTGGTTG